CGAAGCGTGGCTCAAGAAATAGCGTAACATACAGCCAACAGTACTTTGTCGTCACGAATAGAAACGCTCTTGCTTGTTAAGATTTCGCGCGGCTAACAGCTGAGTAGTCGACGGGACCCATTCCCTCATAATTGAAGTTACCAGACTACTTGGCCGTTCCTGAGAGAAACCTCGACTCGTAATTAGACCACGTTCTCATTAGCCACAACTGACACAGCTCGTTACTCGAGACTCGCATTCGGTGTGATGCCTGCATTAGGTCTGATCACCATGTGGTTTTAGCAGCACTCATAAAATTTGTCGTGTCTCATTCACGTTTCTCTTCGAAACAGATCGGCCTTCAATGTTGACATGACCAAATTCTAAGGTCGGCCCATCAAAAGAAAATATAGTTGTTTCAAAGCGTTCCTTCATGCCCAATGAGAAATGGCAACGAATAAAGAAGTATGTATGGACTTCAAAGCGAAAAACGCAATGAGGATCAGGAAGAGGATATCCTAGCAAATCTTGGCTGCGGGGAACACCTTAATTTTTAGACAACAATTTAGCAAAATTAAGAAAGAGTGCCTGCTCGCTTCTCTGCACCTCCTAAGATAGCATATCGCTGATTCATTTGTGCAGTTAATGAAAGTTGCAGGTTGGAGAGGAGACTGTAGCAAAGAGGCGAAATCTGGAAGATCAGATTCAAAATCTAGCTGAACCTTGTGCTGATCATTATACTAGCTATATTTTTTTTGGCATGACCGTAGCAAGAACACCGTGCTGTTCTCGATTATTTACAAGTATTTCACCGACATATAACTCGTTTCCCAGGCTAGTTACGTTGATGCAACGTTGGGTTAATTTTTGCTCAGGGGAAATTGTCGATAGACAAAGATTATCCATTCAGGAGATTCAAACCCGGCACCAGGTTTCAAAGCCGATCACTTTGCCATTGAACTACAACGCCAAAAACGATAAGACTTAAGACCTATTAGACAGTTAGAACGACTGACTACAGAACACTATTCAAATGAGTACTAGAGCTGTTTGGTAATCGCCAAACTGGAATTTTCCTTATCCAAGGCGCTAAAGGTGCCCATTGGCAGATCAGGGAAAGCTCATCAGTAGATGGGCTGAACGTTCCTAGCAGCTGCTCAACAGTTGTTCTCCAGATTCAGCCATTCCGTCCGCTAATTTTCTGCCAATACTAGGGGTTAGTAATGATTCCCATACAAAGATAGAAATCCAAAAGGCTTTATTGAACTTCAAGGAGAAGAAACCGTGTGACGAGGACGCACACAGTACCTATGGCAGAAAGGGAATGGCTGAAAAGCTCCGCGCCCTATTTCGCGAAACATGAACTTCGAAACGCTCTCTGGAGAACTGTAGCATTGAGATATTATCCCTGTGAATAGAAGTGCATGGTAATTGCGTGTTCCATTTATGTGGTATTACTCTGCTGTCAACTCTTGGGAAGCCATTTTCGAGAATTATCCTGTAACTGCTGAGGCAGTCAGTTGATAGAAGACCCCACTGAATTCAAGCAGGTTTCCGAAACGGATTCTGTTTCCCCAAAAATTTTCACTCATAATTGGATCATTGAGCAATTTCGACATTTGCAGGTGCATTAGTTCGTCAGTTTCTATACCTTAAATCTGCACACCAAGCATGTGAATAATCTTAAAATACCAATTGCTTGAGCACAGAATTTTCATTTTCAAAGAGATATGTGCAGGTTGTTGAAGCGAAGGAAAGTTATCAGAATAAATCTTTCTTAATTATGGAACCGCCAGGAAGATGTTTCAGCATTAGCTCTTCAACGTTGTTCGTGACTTCCATTTCCGAGCCGTTACTAATCATGGCAAAGACAAATGACTCATTCCAGACGGAAGGCACAGGCATGTCAATAAATGTAAACATTAAACATAGAAGTTGATCCCTTGAAGAGGAGGGTTCAGCACAAACCGTTTACACCAGCCCGTTAGCTTTCCGTGTTGGAACCGAAACAGGGCTGACGTTGACTAGAAGGCCAGCATATCTTATCGTGGAATAAGGTATAGACAGCTCTCGGTCAAGAAAGTAATTATTCCTTATACGCAACCGTTGTCTTATGGAAAACCTATGAATAAAGTGGGCATCACAAATCAGAGACGTTCGGATTATGAAACCTGGTAAAGGTGACGATCTCAATAAGCACACGCCCAATGGTAGAACAATCTTTTAATGCTGCAGTGATACCTCTGATAGGGATTTCCACTTTTGATTCTTAAAGCTTGACTGAACAACGTACACTCCTCAGGTGTGATGGCCGTGGTTCGCGAATTTCAATCGATAATAGTTTTTAGGGATGTGTTGAACGTGATGTTTCTACAGTTGATTTTCAAATAATTTTCGGTTGTTTCGCATTCCCTCTTCGTTACCTCGTTTTATGCCTGGTCTTTCTCATTGCATCGTATTTCAGCGAGTGCCGTGGAATAGAACTGCCTTTCGTCACTCTCATCGAAGTTATTTCTTGTCTACCAGGCTTGTCACGTCCGCTTGAGCAGAACGGTTGTTTTCTTTCGTACCCAACGCTGTGCTTCCGAGGAGCCCCCTTGCATTTGATTAGACTCTGCAAAAGTCATCAGATTCGATTAGATAGTGGCACCCGATTGTCAGTGATTACCCGAGTTCTGTAGTTTTCGCGAGTCCAAACAGTTTTATTTAAGGACTCGACGGTGCCGGGAATCTGCTTAATATTATCCCTAGTGTCCTGGTTACCTAATCATCCCAAACGCGTACACCTCTACCCATTGAACATACCGGCACTTCCTTTTAACCGGTTGCCAGTCACAGTGTCGACGATACGGCAATGAGTTCCTTCATTGGTTGAATCTTAAATCGTTCGTCTAGATGATTTGTGTGGACTTTCGCTTAACCTCACAAATCTGGGCATCTCAATTTCGTTAAATCAATCACTGCCCAAGTAAATTCCGCATTGCTACATATCACTTCAGTGTCCACTTCACATCAGCCTGGTTTCTCAAATGTATTTGAAGTTTTTGACAGGAAATATGCTTTTATTCGAGAAGGACAATTCAAAATAGGATTTCCCAACAAATGAGTCCATTCATATTTTAGCATAGATATTAATCGTGCACGGACTATCTTTTTGTCACTGTGAACGTAAGCTGAAGGGCCATCGCAAATTCAATATAATCTTCTGTATTGAGTTCAAAAGTGAGTCAGATTAATTTTAATTTATGGTATGTTGTGATCTCTCATTCAGATTTCATGTGTTTTAGTTGGTTTTGTATGGAATTAGCGGCTTGTTCTTGTTCTTATCAGTTGTTCTTGCCATGAGGACGCTACAAGGTAAGTAGGCAAATACGCTGACAATAAAGTGTGAACATCGGTTTTGCTTATTCCTATAAAATCATGAATCAGCAAAATAGCAGCCGTTACAAAGAACATTCGACTGCCATTCTGAACTAAGTACTAAGTAAACCATAAGAATGTACATCTAACACTGAAACCAAAAGCTGAAAGTTTAATTTTGAATCCGGCTCATTCATTTGTTTCCATCAGTCTGATTAATACTGCCGCTGACGACAGCTTGGACACGTCCAGCGTTGATTCATCCATTCCTGAATACACGTTGGGTGGAAAATGTGATTGCATCGTAAGATAGTGACTGGAGCCTGTTGAAGTAGCTCTTCTAAACATATAGCACACGTAGTCTGCCCGTACGCTGCGCTTCCCACGAATGGGACGATGGGCAGGGGCGGTCTTTGGCGTCGATTCATGCCACGTAAGTAACCTGCTTCAACAAGCCAATTAAAAACACTCTCGACCAGTTCAGGTAGGCTGTCGACATTGTTGAGATTTTCAGAATTTACCAATTCTCGCATTGCTTCTTCAAATTCTTGTATGTAAACGGCAATTAGGAATGCAAGCCAGATTCCGATCATTACTCTCCGTGGAGGCAAAGAAAACATTTCATAATTGTTTCTGTTGAAAATTAGATCACGAATTGATCGATCTCTCAGTGCTCTTTCGAGGTCAGAAGCGTCGTTTAGCCGTAATGCACGAAGTACAGAAACTATACGTAGAGGTGCTTGGCCTTCTCTATTAGTCGTTCCTGGACTTCGTCGTGGACGTCCCGCTCGCAGTCCACCCTCACGATGCGAACCTGGAGGAATTGTAGTCTGCGCTGAGTTTATCAGCCGTCCCTGTCGAAAATTTCGGAGCAACCTGAATTGATGGCCATACGGTGCTGGTGATCCCTCGTTACGTGACGGCATGGTGGCTCTCTCTGCTGTGCCACGACGCTGCAAAAGCAACCTCCTTCTAACCTCCCTTTCCTGCCTGGAGGACGTCAATCTGGTGTACCGCCGCATGATCATTTGAGCTGTTGTTTGAACGTGATAAGATCTTCTTCGCATAGGACTTGTTGACGTCACTCTACCTGATTGAGTGAGCCGACGAATAACAGATCGCTGATATGAGGGCATTTCTTCTCACAAAACCATCGGTTTCTGCAGGTATTCCGATTAGAGTTACGTAAGCAAAAAATCTGAACGAAAATCATGGTCAGTCCATTGACAGCATTGCTACAGTTGTAAAAATCTATGAAACGATGACGAAGACACCAATCAACAACGAGTCGACACCGGTCGTAAAAGGAGGAGGCAGACAGCGCGATGTTATTATAGCACGTCCGAATAAGGTCCATGCCAACGATAACGCTAATGGGAGCTCAAAGTCGGAAATTGGAATATATCCTCATTAAGAAGTAAAGAACAAGAATTAGTTGGTGAGGCCATAAGGTTCAAACTCGACAGAGTTGCACTCTCGTCAATAAAGAGCCAAGGCCCTGGAATCCAGCATCTCTGCGGGTGGAAGCTATACTACACGGGTGTCGATATCACGACGAGCAGCGACCAAGCTGGTGTTGGTGTTCTGGCAGTACCCAACCTCGCCCATGGAATCATTTATTGGAAGCCTGTCACCGGAAGGGTGATAATTCTCTGATTGAAGCTATAACAGCCTAAAGCGTTGGCATTGGTACAGATCTGAGCGCTCAGTTTGGAGGGAGAATATCACACCTTCATTGAAGAAGTGCAGTGTGCTCTGGCGGAAGTGCCGAATACATAGTCCCTAATACTGATGGGCGATTTTAATGCGCACGTCGGAGTAGACGTTGAAAAGTATGCGTGATTGGGAAAAACGGCCCTAGCGACCTCAATAATAACGGCATGAAGTTGTTGCGGTTTTGTGCAAAGATGATTGGGAAAAACGGCCCTAGCGACCTCAACAATAACGGCATGAAGTTGTTGCGGTTTTGTGCAAACAAAGGACTATCTATTATGAACACCTTCTTTCGAGCATCGAAATGTGCATCAGTACACCTGGTACCGGGAAGCTTGTGCACAGAAGTGGAAGATCGATTTGACAATCGTATCGTCTGACTTAAGACGCTCAGTAATGGATGTTTGTGTTAAAAGAGGCGCAGAGTTATCAACCGATCACCACCTTGTTGTTCGCACGCTGCGCTGTAAGAAATGCAGTACCATACGAAGATCCGGTGGCAGAACCAACCGGAGAATCAAATAGGAAGCATCATCTTCGGTGGACACGAGAGCA